CTGGCTTTGCCTGATACTGAAATTTCGGGAGAGCACACTCTGAATTTGTCATGGTCCCACAGCAAGCTGGGGGTGGAGTCTGCATTCCAAGCATGGCACAACTGATGTCAAAACCTGGTGCTTCAAACCACTCCCAGCCACGAGAGGTTGGAGACATTTCTAGAGACACAGTGGCCACCTTGGGCATGCTGGCTTTCTGAGGCTTCTCCATTCTTGTAAAAACAGGCATGATGAGTCTTCCCTTGCATGGCATTTGGGGCTTAGAGATAAAAATCTCTAAAAGGCATCAATGCTTACAAGTGTTATCTGTTATGATTATCACTCTCTCAACAGTGTCTCTTGTTTTCAGGAGCTTGGGAAATGGATGTGGCCTTACTCCAATGAGCTCAGCAGATGAGGTGGTAAAGGGTGGGCACCTGAGGGAGACCTTGCTCTCTTAGGAATGAGGAGGTCAGCAGGTGCAGGGCCGGGGCACGGGACCACCAGCCAAGGACATGAGCTCTTGAGCCAGCTCTGCCAGTTCCGGGCTGTGTAATCTCAGAGAAGCCAGCTAGCTCCTTTGAGCCTCAGATTCCTCATCTGTGAAATGTAGATAAGAATAATGAGCAGCCTGCTTCTGTCACAGGGCTGTGGCTCAGCTGAGATAATGGTTGTGAAAGTGCTTGGTGAAGTGGAAAAGTGTTACCCGGATGGGAAGGACCATCATCCCCATGGTGATACAGATCTGTCGTGGGTGGCTGCATTGCAGAGGGTGGGGAACATCCTCCCTCAGGAACACAGCAGAAAATGAGTTATAAGGAAGAGTTTGGGGAAATTAAGGTAGTGAAACACCAGGGTTGATGACTACAGAAAGGGCACCTGGGCCAGAACACTGGGCACCTCAATTTCTTGAAACTCCAGTTACACTAATAAATATTTTAAAATTCCAAGACAGGATTGCCCACATGTGGTATATTTTGCATGTTTGATCTTGGCCAATACATGAGGCATGAACCTAAAGGGTTACAATTGCTCAGCAGCTATCTAGATAACCTCACTTAGAGATACTACCCAAGCTATACCTTTGAGACTACTATAGGCCCTTCTTGTCTCTCATTGTAGGCTTTGGAAGAGAAGGAAGTACGTTTCCTCTAAATTTTCACGCTGATAAGCAAACTGTGGTATATCCACAAGCAGAATACCGCTCCACCATGAAGAGGGATGCATTACTGATATAGGCTACATATTATATGAGCAAAGAAGCTAGATATAAAATGGCACATATACTCTGATTCCATACACATGCCTTAGAGCAGATTAAAATCTATCAATAGTGATGGAAAGCAGACCATGGATTGTCTGAGGCCAGGGATTAGGAATGGGTGTGTATGTGGTTGATTGCAAAGGGGTACAAAGAACACAGGGGTGTGATGAAAATGTTTTGTATCCTGATTGTGGTGGTGCTGAACCCAAAGATATAAACATTCATCAAAGCGCATCCCTAAGTATATCTGAAAGGGGTACACTTTGGTGTGTGAGAATGATGCCATAATCCAGTCAATTAGCAAACATTCTCATCTGACTAGGAAAACTGAAAGCTCTCTTGCCCACCCTCAGACTTCTTTGCCCGTGACTGTGTCTGGCATTTCTCTCAGATGCGGAAGCCTCGTTCAAGTGACCACAGTACATGGTGTGCCTGCAAGCACAGAGTGAGGAAAATGAGGGACCCTCCTGGAAGGAGAAAGCCAAAGGGAGCCACCCAAACTGAGTATGGAATAGGAGCATGTGTGAGGCAGGAAAACGTAGGGGGTCACCAGGAACCATCTTGTTCATTGCTATATTTCCCTACCTGTCCCCCTACAGTGCCTGGCATACAGTAGGTGCTCAATTAAATATTGCAGAGTTAGTGGACAGTACAAAAAAAGGCAGGGCTCTGCAAACTACAGCATAGGCCATGGCTGGCCAGCCACCCATTTTTGTGAATAACATATTACTTACTCCACGCTCACAAGAACTCCACCACTGAGCTACCTCCCCATCTCAGGCAGCAGAGACAGATTGGTGCATTCAATACCTTTCTAACTCCTTCTGTTCTAACTTCCTTAACATGCAAGGGCTGCAAAGCTCAACAAACAACAATTTCCCAGGATCCCTTGTAGCAATGTGTTCCGGGTTGCACCAATAAGATGCCCTCACACAGACTTGAATTCAGAACTGATTTAAGAGGGAGATGGGTACTGCTGCTCCAGGCATCCACTTGCTGGAAGGACCTAGCAGGCTCTGTGTGGCTTTGACACTGATCTCTGAGATGTGACTAGGGTAAGGGTTGGCAATGGGGACGGTAGCTGGCTGTTCCCCAGCTTCTGATTGCATGTGGTTTGGGCAGCATCTCTCCAAGAGGGTTGTTTCACACAGGTGTGAAGGGCGTTCCCTGGAGGCCCAGCCTGGACCACATTCCTCCATTTACTCAGGTTATTTTAAGCATTTAATTTTCTGAAGAAACTTTTTCTGTTATTAAAATGGACTCCTTCTTGATGCACTATTTAAAAATATGTATTATGCTAAGGTAAACACATTTGTGTTCATCGCTGCTCCCCATTAAATGTCTCTGAAAGGAGAATAGAGGGATTTTCTTAAAGGTATTAACCCACAAAGACTAAGTTGTGGGATAGGGTATAGCAGTGGACCAAGCTGGAAACAAAATTTTGGAAACTGGAAAGCAGAGACAAATGTTACGTGATTTAATAGACTGGAAAAAGGGAAGGAACTACTAAAAAACAAAAAGCCACTTCATATCCAGGACTCCAGAAAGACGCAGGATTCAGAGACTCCAGATATGTAACCTGAGCAACAATGACCAGCAAAAGATAAAACAGGCACTGACACTTGGGGTCCCCCAGGAAAAGTTACCCTGGCCTGCTAGGATCTGATTACTCTACAGAGACGAGCCCTCTCACCCTACGCTCTTGGGGTCCCACAGAACGGAAGGAGAATTTGCAGGTAATCTATCTGACCGAACTCTAGTACTCTGAATATATAATGAACTTTTAAAATTCAAGGCCAGGTTTGGGGGTGCACCCCTGTAATCCCAGTATGCAAGAGGATCGCAGGTAGGAAGATTCCTATGAGTTTGAGGCCAGCCGGGGCTACATAGCGAGACCCTATCTCAAAAAACAAAAACATCTCGCAAGTCCAAGGGTCTGAGTTCCATCCCTGGCACCAAAGAAAAAAAGAAACAAACAAGAACATTCAATAACTCAATTTCAAAACAAACCAATGACTGGGTACAGTGGTACACAGCTGTACTTCCAGCTACTTGGGAGTCTGAGGCAGGACGATCGATGGTGAATTGGAGGCCAGCCTGTGTTAACATAGTGCCCTCTGCATCTAACTTTTTCCACCATTTTCACACTTTGCTTTGGCCAGAAAGCTACCCTTGCTATTCCCAGAGCACTAGAGATCTCTAATTTGAGGCAGATCAAAGAGGGGCACATTTTGTACAGCACTTGCTCAGTTCATTCCCCGAACATGTAGACTAGCATCTTGTCTTTTCCTTCCACTAGGAATGCCTCTTTCTTTCGGCCCACAAATCTTTCAAGGTAAAGTTCTGTGTCTGCCTCTCATTCTGAGGGCTCCCACCTGCAGGGTAGGCAGTGGGCTTTTCTTTTTGAATTCTGGGGCTCTCACCACAAAATCACATTGCACTGTGCTCTGGCCCAACCTGTAGCGTGTTGTCCGTGTCCTCCTCCAGCACCTGTTGGCTTCCTGAGCAGTGGCAGAGTAGCTGTTTTCCTTGGGCTAAACCCTCAGTCCCTCTTGGCCTTCACTTCCTCCCTGGAAGGTCCTTTGCTGCCTGCCCACAATTCTTTTCCCAGTCCCATCCTGGGCAAGTTGTGGGCGAGGCAGAGCTGTCTAGCACAGTGGTCTGGAGTGCCGTTTAGGTGGAGTCCCCTCTTCCAACTACACACCTGTGTGGCCTGACTTTTCTTCATATACCTGAAGCAAAACACATCACAACAGGCAGAATGCAGAAACATATAAAAATCAAGCTGTCTTCTATCAGCCAAATGTTAAAGTGTTTGTATTGATGTACAACAGCCAGGCATGGTGGTGCACACCTGCAATCCCAGCACTTGGGAAGCTGAGGCAGGAGAATCACTGAGAGTTTGAGGCCAGACTTAACTTCAAAGTGAGTCCCTGCCACAAACAAACAAACAAATAATAAAAAAAATTAAAAGTAAAACAACAGTGTTATGTTCTCATTAATTTCTTGCTTTGGAAAAATATCGAGTTTTAATAAAAAACACATTATTGTACAACATATAATGGGTTACTTTATAAAATAACAAATATCTCTAAGAATTTATCAGTTTTAATTCCTAATGCAGTAATTACCAATAGATATGACCTATATTAACAAAAGCTATTTGGGATCCTCAATACTTTTTTTTTTTTTATACCAGGGATTGAACTCAGGACCTTGTGCTTGCGAGGCAGGCGTGGTGCCACTGAGCTACATCCCCGACTCCTATCCTCAATATTTTTAAAGAATTTTAGGTACTGAAAACAGAAAGTGTGAGACCCCCTAGATTTTTCAGTTAGCTTGTAGTCTTAACTCTGTGCCTCAGTTCATCTCTAATACAACAGTCACCCTTGTGAGGTGGGCAGCCTTTTCCTGGTGAATTCTCGCCACAAAACCACATCGCACTCCTAGCTTAGAGCTTGGTGTGTTCAGGGACGGCCTTTGCAAAGTTACACAATAAATAGGTACCAGTGATTACTCTGGAAAAAAACTGGGAAACTGGCATGGTAAAGCTTTCTACTGTGCTTGATTTTTTAAAAATGCATTATACATGTGCATTGCGTTTTTTTGTTTGTTTGTTTGTTTTGGTACCAGGGATCGAACTTTGGACCTTGAGCTTGCTAGGCAAGTGGCAGAACAAACGAGCCAAATCCCCAGCCCTTATATACATGCATTGCCTGTATTTAATAACGAACAATTAAAAGCAAAAGTAAACTTCATGGGTGAGTTTACTGGAATCGAACCCAGGACCTTCACACTTTTCTTTGTTTATTTTGAGACAAAGTCTTAATTACTAAATTATCTAGGCTGGGTTTAAATTTACAATCTTCCTGCCTCAGCTTTCCAGAATGCTGGGATTACAGGCATGCACCATTATACCCAGCTAAATTTTTCTGGTAGAGGATTGAACGCAGGGCCTTTGCACTGAGCTATATATTCCCAACCCTTTTATCATTTTTTAATTTTGAGATAGAGCTTTGCTAACCACTAAATTGCCCAGGACAGGTTCAAACTTATGATCCTCCTGCCTCAGCCTCCTAGCATGGGAGGATCACAGACATGCATCACGCTGACTGGCTCTAAGTTACTTTTAATGAATACAGACTTTTTTTGGGGGGGTATGGGGAATGGAACGCGGGATCTTGCGCTTGCAACGCGGGCGGCCAAACCACTGAGCTAAATCCCGACCCGAAAATACACTTTTAATAGATATAAATGATTAGTATGCTTAAATTAGCTCAAGGAAAGTAGTGTTGATTGAAACCTACACAGAATTTTCCTAATCCACCTTGGCGCCTCACTGACACAAGGTCCTCGAGCGTCACTCTCCAGACACAGGGCTAAACTCCGCCTCGTCCACGCGAGACCACGCCCCCAACGTCACTTCCGGTAGACCTGCTTTCGTGAACACCTTCTGGCTCCCGCCTTCCCCAGTTTCCGGTTGTCGTAGTCGCCGCTGCTACCGCCGCTGCAGCTGCTGCCGCCGCTGCTGCTGCTGCTGCTGCTGTTACCACTGCTGCCACCACCACCACTGCTGCTGCTCGGCAGATTGGCGTAGTCCTGAGGGTGGGAGGCACCAGGAT